CGTGATATCAGTCGACAACTTGGTCTGCCAGTTGTATATTAATACACAAATAAATTTCTGACAGTGTTCCAGGACGTGGTGAGTTTTCGCCTAGCAAGCGTTCTCCCCATAAAAGGCCACAAATGTCCATGTAACAACACTGCGACGTAGCGGATGTGACTCGCCACTGAATAAACTCACTGCCCAGAACTACCTACTGGCAAGTCGACCGGAATCATACTTCAATATTGCCCTGACACTTTCAATAATAAGTTACTCCGTGCCTAAATGTATCGCTTTCACTACACATATAAATAACTAAATAAATATTTTATTCTCAACAAGGAGAGGCACGCCTTTACAGGCATGATCAGTTTGACATAACGATGCATGATCAAGAATGCGCAAAATCCGATATGTTTGCCATAGCAGTTTGTGTTTGTGTATTGGTATGTATGTATGTCATTGTGTGTGTACGTGTATGTACCTGTGTATTTTGTGTTTGTAGTTGTGCTGCTCCAATCTTCAATATTTGATATCCTCAGCAATATGCGAGTAGGAGCTTTGTGTCCGTGGGTTGGATAGAATTGTCCGGATATCCACGGGGCGGTGACTTTATTTTGTGGCGAGTCACGACCGCCACGTCACAGTGTTGTTAAGCAGACATTTGTGGCTTTTTATAGGGAGAACGCTTGCCAGGCGAAACTCACCACGTCCTGGAACACTGCTGCCGGACTAGTTGCTGGAACGGGTTAAACCCGAACCACCCAGCTGACACAACGAGGAGGTTGTTCGGCTAGCCAGCCAGCCCTGACCGTTAACACTACGCACGCTAGAACCCTACGTTTCGTCATTCAATGAAGACTCTATCCCTCATGATTACTTACCCAATTTCCGCATTCTGTACAACCTTCGGCTTACTGCCGACTACCTCCATAGCAACGTGTTTGTTGCGAAGCAATATGGTAGGTAAATGTTGCTCATACCTTGCTTGGTGTGTCTCGACAAATTCTAGAATAAACTATTTATTTATTATGTCGCAAGAGTCCTCCTATGTCCTTAACAGGTGTGTTGGGGAGAAGCAACTCTTGGGCCAATGTGTATACTCCAGCGCCTTCTGGTCTGGTAATAAAGCTGAAAGCCGATTTACTTGCCTTAATGGTGAGTTGTGTTTAACTGGACTAGGTAGACCGTTGCTATTACAAGTGCTGGGAAATGGCACAATCGTCCGGGTTCTCAATGGTCCTCCAGAGTTGCAAATCCTCTGCTAACAACGCACATGGTGGCTGGAGCTGCTATGGGAAATGGTTGATACGAGTAAGAAATATTATAGGCCCAAGTACAGTTGATGAGGCCCGCCGTTTGTCGATAGGAACCAGGCTGTCTGATAATCGTTGAACTGTACTCTAACCTTCCGTCCTACAATATACTCTTGTAACCAATAACCCTGCGCGCTGCCGTTTCCATTAGTACTGTTTTTACGTAGGACACCTCGTGATTCACTGTCAAAAGAACCACCTAGCCGAACAACCTCCGCGTGGTGTCAGCTGGGTGGTTCGGGTTTAACCCGTTCCAGCAAATAGTTCGGCGGCAGTGTTCCAGGACGTGGTGGGTTTCGCCTGGCAAGCGCTCTCCCTATAAAAAGCCAAAAAAGTCTGCCTAACAACACTGTGACGTGGCGGTCGTGACTCGCCACAAAATAAAGTCACGGCCCCGTGGATATCCGGACAATTCCATCCAACCCACGGACACCAATCTCCTACTCGCATATTGCTGACGATATCAAACATTGAAGATTGGAGCAGCACAACTACAAACACAAAATACACAGCTACATACACGTACACACACAATGACACATACACGCCCCCTACACAAACACAAACTGCTATGGCAAACATATCGGATTTTTGCACATTCTTGATCATGCATCGTTATGTCAAAATGATCATGCCTGTAAAGGTGTGCCTCACCTTGTTGAGAATAAAATTATTTATTTATTTATTTATCATCCCTCCGCTTTTTCAGAGCGCCTACCAAATGTTGGTTTGCATTCTTAACGTTGGTAGTGCAAGCTGGCCTTTCAAAGAAGCCGGGTTGAGCTGACATTAGTAGGTCTATCTGGTCGAAGAAGGACCGCAGAAACTTTTCACAACGTGCTTGAGAAATTTGGATGATATCGAAGTCAAAACATATCTGTCTATGGTTCTCTACTTTGTCCAGATCCCCACCTTTGGGTAGCGGTTGCACCTTCGAGAGTTTCCAGCCTTTGGAGACAGTTCATTCACAGGGTACTTTAGTAAACAGGTTTGTCCCGGCTGGTAAGATGACGTGCGCTAGTGGCTTATGTGTTAATGTGTGAAGTCCGTCTGTTTTTTTTTTTTTTTTTTTTTTTTTTTTTTTTTTTTTTTTTTTTTTTTTTTTTTTTTTTTTTTTTTTTTTTTTTTTTTTTTTTTTTTTTTTTTTTTTTTTTTTTTTTTTTTTTTTTTTTTTTTTTTTTTTTTTTTTTTTTTTTTTTTTT